AGAATTATTTAATTACTTTTTGTCCACAATTTGCTCCAAGATACAAAAAGAAACTTATGATGATAATTTAGGAAAAGAAAGAAGAGTAAAAAGAAAAAAGGGAAAGTTAAAAACCACGATATATCGCTGAACCGATTTTCATAAATTTTGGCCGATTTTTCAAATAGGAAATAGCGGCCGATATATCCGATTTTTCGCCGACATGACCGATATATCGCCCAAAAACGATATGCCACTTGTATTTCCCCGATTTGTGTCGCTCGACACCTTGATCCGCTATATCGGCCGACATGTCCGACATGTTGGCCGATATTTAAAACACTGTTCGCAGTGGGACACAAAATAAATAATATGTTGGATGGATATTCATGTGTGCAGTGGCGGATCTAGAAAAAACTTCTTGGAAGAGTGAACGACAAATATTTATTTATCTAAAAATAAAAATATAATAATATAAAATTGTAATGCCTAACAAAATTCAATTTAGTATACTTTATTAGCTTAATGCATCATATTTTACCTGTAATTAAACAAAACTGTGAACTTTCAGCAATAATTTACTTAAATAGGCTAAACTCAATTGGGTAGCTAATAGCAGAGATCTATAAGTGAGAGTTGGGATGCAAATGTTTTTAAACTAGGAGGGGCGGGTTGCGAATTGAAAAAGGGTCAATATGTAGTTTTCAAATTCATAGGGGTACAACTGCACTCCTAACTTATAACATAGATCCGCCCATGCATGTGTCTATGGTAAGACATATCATTCTTACAACACCCTTTGGTATGTAGCTATCAATAAATTCTTCATATTTTAACCCTGCAAGATAAATCTTATAACAATCTCTTGGTATCGTCCAATGAGATATGCAATAGAATAAAGGGCAAGTAATATCCTCTACTAACTTAAATGAAAGTTCATTTGCCATGATAAAATAATTATAACTAAGAGATTTTCTTGCAGCTTTTCATCATAACTCCAATTACCAAGTGTCCCCATCTTCTCCTACCACTAGCACCACTTCATGAAGCAAAACCTATTGTAAACTCAATAATTTATGTTGGGTATCAATGTTATATGAATGCGTTTTCATAGGCTTTCCTATGATTGTAAGCAAATGCAGTGTCATTTTTCTTTGCATGAACAGAATATTCCTTTTAATAATAATTACATTTTGTTCTACAATTGTTGTTCTTATCCTTCAATATAGTGAAGTGAGTCCATAGCTATGATTTCTTTTATCGCCTTATTTTTAAGTTGGATCTTTTGGCAAGAAGAATCGACATCCAATTGATTCATACTAACATTAGTATTTTCCTCTAATAGAATTAGAACCAATAGAAACATGAAAAAGAATTAAAATCAATCAAATATGTTCTATAAGTTATCTATTAAGTTTTTAAAAATAAAATGCACAATTACGATTTCGACAAATACTATGCATACATTTGATAGACTTTACCGCAACTATGCAATGAAGACTACATATTATAATTATATAGAAGAAATTTTAACTAATAAAAGTATAACATTTAGCCCCATGAACTCTCTTTATTCCATGTTCTTTCTTTTGTTCGTGAATGATTTCATCAAAGAGTAAGACAAGTTGCCAACTGCCAGTTATAAAAGTATTCATAGTTTTCTCATAAAATAGTTGCTCTGCCTCACAAAATGTAAGAACAAGTAATAGTTCAAAACCAAGAATGAAGATTAAGTTCGAACAAGATCGTAGCAATTCATGTTTAATAAGTATAAAAGACTTAATTGATATAGATTGATTTTTATGAAGATTGATTTTTATTAAAACAAAAGCAATGACATTTCCTTATAAAAAAGATTCATATGCATTATGAATCGGTTGATAAAGGATTACTAATGACAAAATAGCTTTATACCTCCACCAACGTCAAATACGAAGTCGAAGAAGGATATTGAAGGGGTATCTCTGATATGATTAAGGAGCCAAAGGGTTGGAGGTGAGATCAATGTGAAAGAATCTATAAGAGACTAAGGCTAGGATTCGATTTTGAATGATTTTTTGTTCCTCGAATGGGAGAAAATCTGAATGGTTAGTCATTGAGATGAGATTCGCAAGAAGGGGTCATCAAATTCCTCAATTCATTGCAACTAAATCAGAGAGTGGAATCACATTATGAAGGAAACAAATACACATTAAAGATGATTAGATTAGATTTGGTACAAACATTACAGTCGAGTTTGGATATGGGCATTATAATTTAAACTCTATAACCCAGTATTAAATGTCTTTATGTTCGGTCAGTATGGGCATATATTTCTTCAACCCAAACTAATCTGAACTATATTATGCACCAAACCGAACTGCCAAAGCTCAGTCACTCAGTCGGTTATTTAGTTGTGCGTCGGACATTGCTAACCCCTATATCAAGTACTTGTCAGACATAATTAATAGTACTAATCTAAGTACTAGTTGCTAACCTCTTTTCTAATAATATAATTATAAGATATTTGAAAACATATCATAAACTTTTTGAAGATTAGTGGAAACCATGCATATGCTTAATTTTCTCACGTATCAACCATGCGGTAAGAAAATAACTTTTAGCGTGGTTTTTGTTTTCTTCTCTTTATTGAGTTACTCTCGCCCAGCAGTTTTTTCATATGGTTCATAAGCTTGGTTCCTTGATATTCATATCGATAATAATAAAGCTTTTCTCCTACATTATTAGTCAACTACTTTGGTTCCAAAATATTGTATTCAGGCCTGTGCAAGCACGGCTTGTTCACTATTCATTTATGATAAATTGTTCTTCTTTCTTTTTCTTATAGGCCTCCGCTAATCATCATTTTGTATTAAATCAAAACAATAGATTTGTTCATGGGCCTTACATAAGTAAGTTTTTTTTAATCGATTTTACCTAAGGAAGTGATTTAAGAGATGAGACGGTTCGCGGTGATTTTATTCCAAAGTTTCGTCTTAACTATTGTCTGCTTCAAGATTCTTATCTCAGAATTAAAGGGTGCGTGAATTCCTTTGGCTTTAACTGTACCTCTTCATATTACAGTCAATTTCAAGAATAGTTTGAACTCCCGTCTCTTCAAATGCACAGGCATGTATCTATCTATATATCCATAAATAAGTGAGGGCTATTGCGACAAAATAGCGGTAAAAGCGCAAAGTCAAATAACGACCTAATTTAGATATGTATAAATATTTTAAAAAAATTATAAAAAAATTTAGAAAATTTAAAAGTGCATTTGACGACTTAAAGAAATCCTAAACATGAAATAGACATGTAACCGTCACATAATATCAAAGATAACTGGAGAAGTTAAAGAGTCGTCATCTTCGAGAAGATGAGCTCAGCGGTGAGAGGACTGTACTAGGAGGAGCACACGACGAGAGGAGGTGAGAGGAAGTGTTGAGGGGGTGCCAGAGAGAGGTGCCAGAGACTATAAGAGGCGGCGGGAGTACGCCGGAAAGCGAGTGAGGCGATGGGATGTAGTTGTAGCGGGTTGGGTTTAACTTTAAAAAATAAATCTCAAACCGTTTTTAAATAGCGATAAAAAAACGAACTTTGCCCACAAACGCTCGCTACTCACTGCTATGGTGCGTTGTTGGCTGCTTTTGCAAGCGAAAAACGCATATTCCGCAATATGTCACGTTATTGGGCGATAGCATAGCGTAGCGAGAAGGGACCGCTAATGCTATTAGCGTCGCTATTGCGGGGCTATTTACCGCTATTTATAACAGTGCGTATTAGTTAGAAAATTTGATCCCAAAGTACCACCTAATTAGTTAATGCATCCAAATTTTCAACAAGCCTAATTCTTATACAATAGTCTAGATTGTATAATCTAAATCTTAAGTTAATTTATCATGTTTGACTCTTCTTCCTTATTGTCATTTTAGAAAAAACAATAACGAAAATAGCAAAGTAGTTAATGAATATTAAATATTTTAAGAAAACACCTGACAAATCCTTGTTAAATTAACAACTCCAAAGCTTCTCTTCTTCTGCTAATGGTAGTTTTGGCTAGTACACAGAAACTGTCAAATTTTTTAAAAAAAAATATCAAAATGTTGGTTTGCAAAGGTTTCATAGAACTCATTGAGACTCATAGAACACATTCATATCCCTATAAGTTAAAAAATTGCAAACATCACAAAAAATAATATTCCTAGACTATTATAAGAAGGTTCTATTCTTCAGGACCTTAAAGGTAGGAAAACCCTAAGTTCTCTACTGTTTTGGGAAAACGGTGAATGGATTTCATAAAGGGCTATAACAGGTTTCACAAAGTGAAGTCTTCCTTGTGAAACTATCTTTTATATCAGGTTACAATGTCTAGCTTTCAAATCTCTAAAAGGAATTCAATTGGGTTTTATCTAGCAATATCTAATAGCATTGAAGTCAAAACTATAAGTTCTATGAGGTTCCATGTCTTCAAATGTTTGCTCCCTCCCTCCCTCCCTCCCTCCCTCCATTCAATGACCAAATGGCATTTGGTCTTAGAAGTCCTACAGCAAAAATATGACTCTTAAACATGCACAATCAACTTTTGGAGGATTTTGCTTTATCCATGTGCATCAATCCATTTTTCTCTACTAATGGAAAACAAATTTAATTTCCCAAGGCATCACATCATAATATTAAGTGAAACATTAATTTTTGTGATAGCATTGTGATGCGAAATGTTCTAACAATTTATAAAGAAAGTGTTCCAATCCCTCAAAGGATGAAAACGCAATAAAACCTACGCAATAAAACCTAAATAAGTATCATAGATCAACCACCTGTAAATCACATATAAATTTCAAAATGTTCAACTAATATTCGTACTAACCTAAGTTTACGTAGTGCAAAAAGGAAGCTCATCTACATTCACATAAGTCGTGCATGTCTGTACAGTATTAAGTTTTTCCATTATAACTTTAGTGGAGGTCCCTCATGCATTCACAAAAAAAAATATCACGAGTCTTTTATGTTTGAAAGTCATTTGTCCAAGTCTCTAACATTACCTTTGTCATCGGTTTAAGTCTTTTTCAAGTATATTCGTTCAACCTCGCTGACATGGAAGTGACATGACTGGAAACTTGTAATTTCACAAATTGTTTGTTGGCTAGACACTCTCCCACTCTCTTATTAATGAATAAGTAGACCATAATCCTCTCTTTACTTTCCTCCAAATTGATCAGCAAGAAACGAGGGAGGGCTCCCACCTAGCAAAAAAAATAGTGAAATTATAAGCTTGTCCTGCCACATCACTATCATGTTTGCAAAATTTAATAAAACATTTAAGGACATAGGGTGATGACAAAGGTAACGTTCGGGACTTTTACAAATAACATTCAAACATGAATGACTCATATGATATTTGACCAATACATATGAGGGACCTCTACTGAACTTTTGCCTTTTTTATTTACACTTAAATAACTGAACGATTACTCCATTTTTAACATTGGCACCCTAAAATTTTTCTTTGCCAAAAAAATTAACCCAAACTTACAGCATTTTTTTTACTTTGATTACCCATAGTTTTTTTTCCTTGGTCCAAAATACCCCAAAGTTCAGCAAAAGTACCCCAAACTATAACAAGATTTAACATTGACATACCGAAGTTTAACAAAAAAATAAGTCCTGGCTATCAAAGTTTAATTTTGTTGAACTTTGGGGTATCAAAGTTAAACATTTTTTGAACTTTGTGGTATTTTTTGAGCAAAATAAATCTTTAGGGTATCAAAGTTAAAAATGAGGTGACCCTTGGGGTATTTCCTTGGCAAAAAAGCAGCTTTGGGTTATCGAAGCTTAAAGGGATGATTGCAAATAGACCCCCTATAGTATTACCCAATTGCGAATATACCCCCTATAATTGCATTTGTGTGAATAGACCCCCTACAGTATTGGCCAAAGTGTGAATACACCCCCTCGATAAACTTTTCCTACTCTTGTAAAAGTGAAAAAGAATTAGTAATTGGGGGTCTATTCCCTCCAATAGAACTATTGGGCATGTATTAGCCTCCTAAAACCTTTTTGACGATTTAAGAGTAAAAAGAAATTTACTTATGGGTCTACTCGATACTTAGGGGGTCTATTTGCAATTAACCCAAGTTTAAAATGAGGTAAATTTTGCAGTATCTAAGTGCAAATAACCCCTTTTCCTCTAGCGGCTAGCATCAACAATTCAAAATCTTGAAGTCTAGCCTAATTCCATGCATAGAATGTCTCTCCTCTTCTCTTGTTAAAACTACCAATAAGCAAGAACACTCACTTCTCTTCTCCAAACATTTTTTCAACAATTACGGCTCAAATCAGCCAAAGAAATTAATTGAGGGAGATCGTTGTCAAAATGTCGCCCTCACGTCTATTCCCATGTTGGATTCTCACATTCTCTTATTCTATCTTAACAAAACTCTCAGTGTTTTTTTCAGAACCGTGGAGTCAGAGCTACACAAAAAGAAAATTTTCTCTAAAATTTGGCATGTGCATTGTATTGAGAGATTGAATATAGTGGAAGCCCCCTCTTGTCGTGGATGTAGATCAATTTGATCGAACCACGTAAACATTGTGTGTTTGTGATTATCTCTCTATTTTTTGGTTTTATGTTTAATTATCCCAACAAACCGGTATCAGAGCTTCTTGGTTCTAGGATAACTTTCAATCCTCCACAATGGCTTCTGTGAAGTTCTCAGCGTCGATCTTCAATGGCCAAAATAATTTCGGGCTATGAAGGATAAAGATGAAGACTTTGTTGCGACGTGAAGGCATGGTTAAAGCTATCGATGGGAAATACCCAAAAGATATGACTAGTACCGAGATCGAAGAGATGGACGAAAAGGCTCACAGCGCCTTGCAATTGTCACTATCCGACAATGTGCTTTGTGAAATTGCCAATGAGGAAACGACAGCGAGGTTGTGGTCAAAGCTCGAAAGTCTCTACATGAAGAAATCTCTTACTACGAGATTATACCTGAAGCAGCGGCTATACACATTGAAGATGAAGGAAGGTACACCCATTCAGGAACACCTTGATGAATTTAATAAAATTGTCATGGATATGAAAAACTTGAATCTAAAGCTTAATGATGAAGACCAGACTCTCATTGTGTTGTGTTCCTTGCCTAACTCTTACGAAAACTTTGTTAACTCTATGTTGTATGGAAGAGAATCCATAAGTCTTGAGGATGTGAAGGCCTCTTTGAATTCTGCTGAGTTAAGAACAAAGTTGAATGGGAGAGGTACCGATAGGCAGGTTGATGGTCTGCTAGCCAGAGATAGAACGAAGACCAGAGAGAGTGATAAAGGACAATCCAGAAATCGTTTAAAATCCAGGTCAGCCCAAAATAAGAAACATGTGGAGTGTTTCTACTGTCACAAGAAAGGGCATTACAAGTCAGAATGCTATGCTCTAAAGAAGAAAAACAACCAGCGTGGTGCAAGGTTTTAAATGTCGGTTATCGGAGATTTATCGAACGGTCATAATCCTTATCGGATAGCGAAAATCAGGGATATATCGGGGATAAGTAGTATTTATCAGAGTAATACACTAGCAAATAATAAACAAATATAAGCTTGAAAAAAAAATATAATGTTAGTCAAAATAAAATAATAAACAAGCAAAGAATAAGATAACATCAAGAATGAAGAACCATCTACGCATCTACATAATTATTGTTTAATCATAAGATTCATAAACTAACTTACTAAGTTGATATTTAGTAGTTATGAGCCATTATCAATATCTATAAACAAACATTAGCTAATCACCAATCAACCAAGTTCCAAAAGCAACAATTAGCTCATAATTTGTAAACATTCAAAGAGCAAATTCAAAAGAAAGTAAAAGCTCTCAAATCCTATTTATCGGCCGATAAAGTCGATATTTAGAGCCTACTTATCGACCGATAAGTGTCTTTATCACCGTAACTCGACGATAAACTTCGAAAAACGACAACCGATTAAAAATCCTACTTATCCTAGCGGAAAGCTCCCAAATCCGATAACTCGGCGATAATATCGGATTATCGGCCGATATTTAAAACCATGACGTGGTGAAACCCCAGATTCAGCTAATACGGCAAAGGTCGATACTGCCGTTGTTGCTGAGACGGTTCTTACAGTTTATCTCTTAGATGGCTGTTTCGATAGAGAATGGATCTTGGATACGGGTGCGTCTTATCATATGTGTCCAAATAAAGATTGGTTCACTACTTGCAGATCTATAAGTGATGGATCAGTTTTGATGGGCAACAATGCAGTTTGCAAGACAATTGGCATTGGTACAGTTCACATCCGGTGTCACGATGGGATAGTGAGAACTTTATCAGATGTGAGACACATCCCGGATTTAAAGAAAAATCTAATTTCTTTGAGTTCTTTGGATTCTATTGGGTGTTCTTACACTAGTGAAGGTGGAGCTCTTAGAGTTACTAAGGGTTCATTCGTTGTGATGAAAGGTTGTAAGGTGAACAGTCTTTATGTTCTCTAAGGTAGTACGGTGACAGGCTCTACAGGTGTGTCCTCTGATGCTGATAGGAACACTATTCAGTTATGACACATGCGCTTAGGCCACATGAGTGAGAAGGGGATGACTATTTTGAGTAAACGTGGCTTACTCTGTGGTGACCATACATCATCACTGGATTTCTGTGAGCATTGTGTGTTTGGGAAGCAAACTCGGGTCAGCTTCTCGACTGGCTCACATACGACGAAGGGCACTCCCGACTACATCCATTCAGATTTGTGGGGACCTGCTCAGGTTCCATCCAAATGTGGTGCTCTTTATTTTCTGACGTTTATTGATGATTTTTCCAGAAAAGTTTGGGTTTACTTTCTCAAGCACAAAAACGAGGTGTTCGAAACTTTCAAGAAGTGGAAAGTACTTGTTGAAAATAAAACTAAAAAGAAGATTAAACATCTCCGAACAGATAATGGCCTAGAGTCCTGCAGTGGAGAGTTCAATCAGTTCTGCTCAAATTCTAGGATCGTACGACATCGCACGGTCAGCACACTCCTCAGCAAAACGGGGTGACAGAACACATGAATAGAACATTAACGGAGAGAGCTAGGTGTATGGTCTCAAACTCTGGGTTGGATAAAGACTTATGGGCTGAAGCTATTAATACAGCTTGTTACTTTGTGAACCGGTCTCCTTCTACCGACATTGAATACAATACTCCAAATGAGGTATGGTCAGGTAAACCAAATGACTATTCAAATTTAAAGGTATTTAGATGTCCCACTTACTATCATGTTAGAGAGGATAAGCTTGAGCCTAAAGCTAAGAAATACATATTTATTGGTTATGTTGATGGCGTTAAAGACTATCGTTTGTGGAGTCTTGAACCTAATTCTCCTAAATTCATTATTAGTAGAGATGTTACTTTTAATGAACTATCGTTTGTGGAGTCTTGAACCTAATTCTCCTAAATTCATTATTAGTAGAGATGTTACTTTTAATGAAAGATATATGCTTGATCATACCTAATTCTCCTAAATTCATTATTAGTAGAGATGTTACTTTTAATGAAAGATATATGCTTGATCATGGAAAGGTTTCTGATGAGTCTACAGGAAATGTAGAGAAGACCATGGATAAGGTGAAGCTTCAGGTGGAGCTCGAGGGAGAGACTTCTCAAAAATCGTCTATAAAGTTGCTCCTACAATTGTAGAAGAGCAACATGATTCAGGCTCAGATAATGATGACGCTAGGACTGAAGAACCTTATTCCATAGCCACTGACAGAGAGAGGAGACAGATCAGACCTCAAAGATTTGCACATGCTGAATTAATGGCGTATGCTCTCACGACAGCTGAAGAGATGTGTATTCAAGAGCCATCAAACTTTACTAAAGTTGTCTCATGCAGAGAATCTGGACGTTGAGCCACGGCTATGACAGAAGAACTCAAGTCACTTTACAAGAATCAGACTTGGGATTTGGTACAATTACCTAAGGGTAAAAGGGCAATTGGATGCAAGTGGATTTTCAAAAAGTAAGAAGGGATCCCAGGGGTTGAAGATGCTAGATTCAAAGCACGGTTGGTGGCTAAGGGTTATAGACAAAAGGAGGGAATTGACTATGATGAAGTGTTCTCTCCGGTTGTGAAGCATACCTCCATCCGTGTATTGCTTGTCATGGTTGCTCTATTTGATCTGGAGCTTGAGCCCGGTTGTGAAGCATACCTCCATCCGTGTATTGCTTGTCATGGTTGCTCTATTTGATCTGGAGCTTGAGTAGCTTGATGTGAAGATTGTATTTTTACATGGCGAACTTGAGGAGACTATCTACATGTCTCAGCCAGAGGGATATTTCGTAGAAGGTAAAGAAGATCAAGTTTACAGATTGAAGAAATCTTTATATGGCCTCAAGCAATCTCCTAGACAGTGGTACAAGAGGTTTGATAATTTTAAGCTTAGTCATGGGTACTCAAGAAGTACTTATGATAGTTATGTGTACTACATGCATCTAGGAGATAATTCTTTTATTTATCTTCTATTATATGTCGTTGACATGCTTATTGCTACTAAGAACATGTCGTAGATTCTTATTTTGAAGAAACAACTCAATGATGAGTTTGAGATGAAAGATCTTGGTGCAACAAAGAAGATCTTAGGCATAAAGATCAGGAGGGACAGAAAAGCTGGCACATTATATCCCTCACAGAAGAGTTATATTGAAAAGGTACTTGAACGTTATGGGATGAAGAGAGTCAAGCCCGTTACGACTCATTTGGCTCCTCACTTTAGGCTCTCGGTTTCAGATTCACCTACAAGTGAGAACAAGAAGAAGGAGATGTCCCGAGTTCCATACTCTAATGTAGTGGGTAGCATTATGTATGTTATGATTTGCACACGTCCAGACATTACCCAGGCAGTCAGTGTAGTGAGCAGATAGATACATGGCTCAACCAGGTAAGGCACACTGAGAAGTAGTGAAGTGGAACCTTCGGTATCTCAGGGGTACCTCAGATTTGGGTTTAGTTTTTTATAGCAGTATTTTAACAACCTCAGTTGTAGGTTTTGTGGATTCTGACTATGCAGGTGATCTCGATAAAAGAAGATATTTGACTGGTTATCTTTTTACTCTTTCTGGCTCAGCTATTAATTGAAGATCGACTCTACAGTCGACAGTTGCTTTGTCTACTACAGAGGCAAAATACATGGCAACCACAGAAGCGGTAAAAGAGGCTATTTGGTTGAGAAATCTCGTAAGGGAGCTTGGACTTCGGAGGCTAGTTCAATTGTATTTTGCGACAATCAGAGCGCAATACATCTAAGCAAAAACTCATCACATCATGAGAGAACAAAGCATATTGATGTCAGATATCATTTCATTCGTGAGGTAACTGCTGAAAGAAGCATCACGATGAAGAAGATTGGTACTGCAGACAACCCAGCTGACATGTTGACCAAACTGATCCCGACCTTCAAGTTCAAGCACTGCTTGAATTTGGGAGGCATTCGCACTTGTTAGGTGGTCCCGTTTGGGGTATTATTTGCAAGACGGGTAAAATTCATTAGTTATTGATGTTTGAGAATTCAATCTAAGGTGGAGATTGTTGATTTTTTGGCTTGAATCCAAAATGGGTGGGACCCATTTTGGTTTGAAAGGGAGAACACAACAAGACTTCGGGGGGAGGGAGGTCACTGTCAATCACCCTCACTTCTCTTCTCCAAATATTTTTTCAACAATTGCGGCTCAAATCAGCCGAAGAAATTAATTGAGGAAGATCGTTGTTAAGATGTCGTCCTCACGTCTATTCTCAAGAAGACTTTATCCAAATCTTCGGCCATAACCCAGACATTGCACAAGAATATCAGGAAGACTATCCACGTCTATTTTCTGTTTGGAGTTTTCATTTTGATATTCTTGATCAAACCGCTACGGAATTATCTCAACAAACTATGTGGGTTATTCTCAGGAAGACTTTATCCAGATTTGGCTTTAACACGTCTATTGTTAGGATAATTAAACAAAAAACCAGAAAATAGAGAGACAATCACAAATACACAATGTTTACGTGGTTCGATCAAATTGATCTACATCCACGAGGTTCTGAAAAAAACACTGAGAGTTTTGTTAAGATAGAATAAGAGAATGTGAGAATCCAACATGAGAATAGACGTGAGGACGACATCTTGACAATGATCTCCCTCAATTAATTTCTTCGGCTGATTCGAGCTACAATTGTTGAAAAAATGTTTGGAGAAGAGAAGTGACGATAATTGCCAGCAACCTCCCTCCCCCCGAAGTCTTGTTGTGTTCTCCCTTTCAAACCAAAATGGGTCCCACCCATTTTGGATTCAAGCCAAAAAATCAACACTCTCCTCTTCTCTTGTTAAAACTACCAATAAGCAAGAACACTCACATCTGTTTGGTCCCAATGAAATAAACCATCAACTTCTCCCGATTCGTCGCCTACAAACGCCATACAAGAATCAACGAAACCCTAACGAATCAAATGGTGCGCCGACCAAAACATACCCAAAAAAATTCAAATATTTAGGGTGATGAGCAAAAGAACAAAATAAAAGAAAAGAAAAACGCTAGTAGGAAAAAGAAGCGCCAATAACACATCGCTTACCTTTCACCTCCGGGCGCGGCGGCCGTCGCACTTCGCCTCTTCTTGCGG